ACTCACTGTCAACATGATATTATTAAGTGGAAAACTGGTAGATCTATTGTCTTCCTTCAAGCTTGCAGAACTGATGAACATTCGTGATATACAGGCAGAATTCGAAAACCGCCATGAGCCCACCAGTTTTTTCAAAAAATTTTTCACTTTTTTCAACATGTATGCAATACAGGTAACACATTTCATGGAAAACTGATAGTCCTTTTGTTTTCAAACTTACCAATGTTACTAGAATACAGGTTGAACCTGAAAATCCACTTATTCAAAATATTCTTCTGGAAGTAATGCTGATATATTTTTTTTCAGTATTTTTTATGCTGTATGCAACACTGACAATACACTTCAAGGAAATCCAATAATGTTGTCTTCAAACTTTCAGGAGTGATCAATATTATTTTAATGCTTTTTTTGCTTATATTATAATATATGCTGTACATATAACACATTTCAAACTAACAGGACTGATTCAATAGTATTAACATACAGGCCAACTCTAAAATCAGCTTGATGGAACCATTTTTCTTGGATTTATGTGTTTTTTTTTGTTTTATTTCTCGGCATATAATATATAGAATAAAGATAACAGAGATACACCCATAGTTACTATTGAACTTGAATAAGAAGACATATACTGGCAATCTAACTGTGATCTTAAAATTGACTTTTGACCTTCTTTTCTCCATGAATCACAGTTCACAAATTTGGATTTCAACTTTTACTCTACCCCATGATTTTGTTTTAAATTGTTATTTTCAATAAAAAATATCTAGAACTCTTGTTTATTATTGCATCAAAATTGACAAAATGACCTATTTTCTGCATCTTTATTTTCTGTTTTTTGTCTGTACATTTCAAAGCTTTGCTGCCTAGTTCTTGGTTTTCCATACTAATGTGCTTTCTCCAGCTGGTGGTACAATATCTGGAGGTGGTATCACCTCTCTAATCCTCTAGTTAAAAGAGTGTATGTGTTTGTGTGTATATGTGTGGAAAATTCCATTTTTTTACATCATGGTATTTTCAAAGTGTGACTATGAACTTCAGTGGGCCTGAAGACCTTAGCTAGTATCATTTCTAAATACCTATCATCTGCAGCGCATCATTAAAATTGGTGGTGATTATGCTGTTAAGCTTTATGTAGTGTGGCATCAAAATTGAAGAAAACCCTTTTAAGTTTTTTGGGCACTGCCTCAGTAGTGGCCATTTAAGGTAAACCAAATACTTACTTATTCTCAAACCTACAGAAAGGAAACATACGGCTAAAATACAGCTTGTCACCATAAATGCAATAAAAGCAAAACAGTTACGTGTGTCTTATTTTTGAACTTATAAAAATTATACTTAGAATTGATGTGCAGCTCGAATTAGAGAATCGGAGAACTTGATTGGATTATTTATCTTGAATTTATGCATTTCTTGAGAAATTTTCATTTTTGCACATTAAATGTGTGAGTCTGCACTGTCATGGACCTGAAGTTGGTAATCTATTCTTAATATGTGTGTTACCTACAGTGCATAATTAAAATTTGGTGTTGGTTTTGCTGTTAAGCATTGTGTAATATTTCATCAAAACTGACAGAATGTATCACAAATTCCTTTATGTTGCAGCCATTATTTTCAATCTACTGTCAAGTTTTAAAAATGGAAATAAACTCATATCATTGCAGTTTGTCAGATTCAATCATTCACTATGTTCAGAATCTCAGAATGGAGGAAATTGGACATTTAACACTGGAATATGTCGGAGACATTTAATATTTCATAGACGATGTCAATAATTTCAAGTCATAACTTTTATTGTATTCTCTATAATACGTTGTGTCAATTTTGAAGAGGCTGAGTAGGGCTTGTTTACCTGTCGCATTAAGAAGCCAGTGATAAGGAAGTGTATGAAGCCATTGGCTGGAGTACGTACTAAAGGTTGTAATATTGAATAGAGAGTCAGAATGTACCTGAGCAGGCAACGAGTTCACATTAAACGATTGAAACTGGTCATTTTTGTCAGTGTGGATTTCCTCTGTAGCGTTTAGACGTAACGATTTCGACCGCGAATCTGGAAGGTCATACTAGAGCGTTACCCTAACTAAAAGTGTCCAACGGTGTCCGTATTTCGAGCCTAATTCTAAATTACGTTTGTATCTAAATTTGCGCGGTTCCGGACACGTTTTCTGTTCTATTGATATTTTTCCCATCTCATCAATTTTCTTAGTTGGTCATATAAAAATGACAGTAAACTGTTAATTTTGTTTTATGTTAAAAAATTGTTAAAAATGGAAAAAAAAACATTTCAGAACAGTGCTGTCTTGTTTACATTTTGGCATTTTCAAGGTGTGACTTTGAAGTTCCATTGGCCTGGAGACCTTTGCTAGTCACATTTTCTGAATATCCATGATACTAATATTTTATTATTAAAAATTAATGGTCATTATACTGTTAAACATTATGTAATATTGCATCAAAATTTGAAGAAACCCCTATTTTGGGCACTGCTCCCATGATGACCATTTAAGGAAAACCATCTCACTTACTGTTCTCAAACTTCAGTAAAGAAACATGGGACTATATGTTGTTTGCTGTATCTGTAGAATTCACATTCCATACTTTATCAGAGCAAGAGTTTATTTTATTATCTTAGCAACGGAGGTTAGGTAAAACTGTAGTGTGAATTATGCAATCATTTAAACCGTTCAGAATGTCTGGTGGTATTGTAAAACACCATTTGCTCTTCCCAGAAGAGCGGGGTGGATCAGGTAGTTTCTAGATAATCTTTTCAAAACTTATCCAGATTTTGTTGTTGGCCACTTAAACATATTATTGGACTTGCCACATTTTGTTAAAAACTTATCAAGCACAGTAAAATCATTCGAGTCAATTTTTGTTATCTCTCCAATGTAAGATGGTGAGGTGCATATAAGATGCATGTAACTGAGGATTAGCTTCACTGATTAATACACTAGTGCATGTATAAACATTGTTTCCCATTAGGTATGAAATGGCAGGTTGACAGGCATGACATGGAAGCCACCAGCACTTAGTATGCTGCAGCTGTCATTACTGGTATCAACCTGGAAGTTGAAAAAGAGTATTTATAAGATAAGATAAAATAGAATAATAATTTACTAAATGAATAAAATACAAATGTATAAATTTGGGACTCTTTTGCCCTGTAATAGCTCCATTATCCTGAAAATGTATGCCAAAAGTTTTACCTTCATAGTGTCATTTATGACCTTCCAGATTAGATTTCTAAATTAGACTTTATAATTGGTACATTTCAACAACCTTTGATTATTAAATATTACGCTATATTTCTGCTGTTTTCTTTCAATACAGATAAGTTACATTTGGATACCTTGTATAATGTATAACAATGAAGTACCTTTTATTACTTTTGACTAGGACAGTAGTATTTCAGTTTTTAGATAAACAGGAATTAAGATGAACCACTATATGAAGAATTTGTAGTATTCTAATGGGTAGATAGTGAGTTATTGCAGAGCATGAATCATGGAAACCAGTTCAGAATGTCTCAGTATTGTCTGCAGATCACCATTCTGTACTTGTCTTCCAACATATGGTATCAGTGCACGTACTATTAACTTTCTACAAAATAAAGTTTATTTAACAAGATATATTGGTTTGTCTGGTCAGTCTTCAGTTGTCCCTCGTCAGACATGCTGAAACTGTCGGTCCCATCGGTCATGACCGGGAAAATTTGTCTGGACCGGTAGAAAATTGGACTTGGTCGGTCCAAAGGACTGACAAGAGTTTTAAGAACCGCAATTTTGAATTTACAGTCATCTTTTGACATACTTCACTAATAAAATTATATAAAACCTAAAGTGTTTTTTCCCTTCCATTTCAAACCTATCACATTAACAAACAAAGTAAGCTACCCTAATTGTACTGGTAGCATCTGTCTCAAAGGAATAGAGTGATTTTCAGTCCGACAAAAATCCATTCGGTCCGTCAAATTTTTCATTACTGACGGTCCAAATGTCCGGGCATTTTGAAAAGTTTTCAGCATGTCTGCCTTGTGGATAATTAATACTAGCTGCAAACTAATAACTTAGAATTTCTTAAATGCCATATTAAGTAATGTTCCAAAATTGACTTACAATAGGACTACTAGTAAATTACAGCTTGAATTAGAAAATCAGCTGCATTGGATTCTTTTTCTGGAAGTACCCACTAATGTAGTTTTTTGTTGAATTTTCATTTTTCACATATTGGCATTTTCAATGTGGGACTTGGAACTCTCAGAGGCATGAAGCTGTATGGTAGTTACACTCTCACAATGTCCAATTAGATAATTAAAAATTGTTGATGATTATGCTGTTAATCATTATGTGATATTGCAAGGAAATTGTAAACAACAACAAGGAAAGCTGTTACTTTCTAACTTAAAGGATGATTCTTACAACTGATATACAGCTCAAATTGGAAAACCAGCTTGATTGGAATTTTTCTTGTCTGAAACTTTCATTTTTCTCATTCCGACATATTTCAGTTTGTGAATTTGCATTTTCATGGGCATTATGCCAGCTACATATTCCTAACATCTATAACCTTTTTATGCATCATTTTCTGCTTTTTACGTACAGACACAGTTTTGTCTGTACATACAGCCGTCACCTGCATCTGCCGTTGCCGTCATCGCTGTTGTCGCCATGGTCGCTATCGTTGCCGTGTACTTTCAGTGATAACATGATAAGTAAAAAACAGATTTACCTTTTGGCTTTAAACTTACAGAACTGATGACTATTCATAAAATGCAGGTCAGCATGATGAGGCCATTTTTTCAAAAGTTATGCGTTTTTTTTCAGCATATATGCAGCACTGAAAACTGTTAGGCCTTTTGTTTTGAAACTGTATATTTATCAGCTTTGCTCTGTAGTTTTAATTATTTTCTTTCAAATGACAAATGCAAGTAAGTTTTAATTGTTTTATTTCTTTGAATTTTAGTGTATGGAAAAGGATGTGTTACTGGGTATATTGTTAAAAAAAGAGAAGATTGACTTAGAGAACTGATATGATACACTGTAAGATGAGCTATCCAGTAAGATTGCAGCTTCATCCAGTCACCCCATACTACAGTACTGTTATCTGATGTGCTTTAAAAAGTATGGCTGCCCAAACCAGCTCAGAGCTTTTAACCACTGTAGAATGTGTCAAGGTTATGAGGGAGGACAGGTAANGTTGAAACAGGGGAAGATGGACTTATATGATACACTGTAAGATGAGCTATACAGTAAGATTGCAGCTTCATCTAGTCACCCCATACTACAGTACTGTTATCTGATGTGCTTTACAAAGTGTGGCTGCCCAAACCAGCTCAGAGCTTTTAACCACTGTAGAATGTGTCAAGGATATGAGGGAGGACAGGTAAGAAAATCATTTTGGTCACTTTACCACCTTATAATACCAGATAGAACTTTGCCTCATATTGTGTTCAATTTGGTATTTCTTGTTGTTGGAAATTTATTGAGAATTTAAACAACAGCAAGTGCTTATGTATTATGGGAAGACATTGAACATTGTGACATCAACAAATGCTGGTGTTTTATGCGCATTCAGAACTACTTGGGATGTCTCACGCACTCCACAATAACCTCGGACATGATGGGATGGCATCCATAGCATGCTTTGAATATTGGAAAATGAACTACTTTCAGTCCCATGCCCAAATGACACATGCGAAGACTAGTTGCAGTTTAGGATCAGGTTTGAATAGCTCAGAGACAATGTGCAATTTCATTTTATCTGATTAGTTTTTACAATACTGCCCAAAAATTGGATTTTAGGGAACTTGTCCCTCTGGTGTATAGGCCCTGGTTGATTGAAAGGCAGTTCCAGCAGAGAAATGTACCAATTTGATGCATATTCCTACACTTAACTTGTCCGAGGTTTGTATGGAGCTTGTGGAGTCAGCCGAGGATTGCCAATTGGTATATGGGAAGACACTGAACATTGTGACATCAACAATTGTTGTTGTATTATGGGAAGACATTGAACATTGTGACATCAACAATTGTTGTTGTATTATGGGAAGACTGAACATTGTGACATCAACAATTGCTGTTGTATTATGGGAAGACATTGAACATTGTAACATCAACGATTGCTGTTGTATTATGGGAATACATTGAACATTGTGACATCAACAATTACTGTTGTATTATGGGAAGCAGTAGGCAAATACAAAATTGCATAATGTCTCTGTAAGACTGATAACTTCTCACTGTCAGCTAAACATTTTTAAATGTTAGTGTATAGAAATGAGATCTTTCCGAAAAATTGTGAAATAGTTATTCCATTTATTTATTGAGGCAGTTGATAATGATTAAAAAAATTATATATAGATAAATTATTGAATAATTTTCCCAAATTTTTTTTTCTTATTTATTTATTTATTTATTTTTACTAATTTAAATGAAAACAATGATTAATTCAAGAATTGGTATAAAATCTGTAGGTATCATTGTGTGGATATAAAGAAGGGCTGTGTGATGATCTTCTTTAGCACAGAGTTCAAAGACCTAGATAATGTCAACACTGGTAAGGTGTTTATGCAGGTGAGTCATGAGTTTGTAAAAACAATATGCACTGCCTGTTGTTTTATCACTATATGAAACTAGCTTAGAAGAATTCCTGCTTTAAAATGGCAATTCCATTGCACAGCCTTTAAATTGTCTTCAGTTATAGAAAAAGATCCAAAGAATGGCTAAACTTCCGAGTTATTACCATAATTTCTAAATGATATACATTATTTCACTAGATGTCTGTCATGCCTACTGAACCTGCTAGGGGGTAATTAATTATCATTTAGCAGGTTCAGTAGGTGTGTCAGACATCTAATTAAGCCACTTAAGCTGAAAGCAATGAGCGAGAAAACCTTTGGAGATGAATCAATCCTGTTAGATTGATCTAAGTATATGGGAACCCAGTCTTAATATTTGCTATGTCTAAAGGTTGATATACTAATAGATAATTTTTTCTCCTATTACATGAATTAATATTATATGAATCAATATTATATAACCTATTTGGGTTTTATGTAAATATTGTAACAATTGGGGTCAGTGAGGCTACGAATCCGCAATAAGAAATCATTAGACGTAATGTAAACACAGGCTGCACGATCGTCTGCTATGACCAGTTTTTATTTTTTTTTTATAGTTATCTTTCACTAATCCTACCTAAAAACTTCGTTTTCCTCAGAGCCATATGTCTTAGTGTTTATCCAAACGAACTCCGTAGTTTAGTCTTTCATTGTAATCCATAAAAAAGGGTAAAAATAATCCAAAATTCTAATGCACACGCTGGCCACACTTCCATGCTGAGCGGCCATGCTGTTAGGTCACGACCCTGACCTTTGACCGCGTCGAGTGATGACGTAACGAGACGAGTCTATAAATAGGGCCGCAGAGCTAAAGAGCGGGGCGATTCGAATCTGATATAGTCTGGTGGGAAGGAGGGGTTCACGTGCAACCCCGTGAAAAACAGTGGATACCTATATTTTCTTAACCCTTGATGTCTNGTTCTCTCGTTGAAATTTCTTCAAGACAGCTAGCGCCAGTGTGTTAGATTTTTTTTTTATTTAGTAGGGTGCCCCTGCGGGGGTTACCCGTCTTGCATTAAGCACAGCTTTATGTAATTTAGAATAGATTTTAATTTAAATAATCTTAATTTTTCCAGTTGCTATTAGTAGTTGCTATATTGTAGTACGTTCTCAGTTAGATCCTTCCCGTAGCTTACCCTTCCCCCTGCCTTAGATTAATTGTTTTCATTACTAATCACCCGCTTGTATTATTGTGCACTCTTTGTGCAAGTAGTTAAGTTGAGTTGTGATTACTTTCTCCGTTTTATTTCTAAGAGAACACGTTATCCTAAGTTATCTTCACAGGTTATCTTAATGGGTTGTCTCTGTAGGAGAACATGTTATCTTAGGTTATCTTCCTAGGTTATCTTAAATTTCACTACAGGGTTATCCTAAGTTATCTTCACAGGTTATCTTAATGGGTTCTCTCTGTAGGAGAACATGTTATTTTGGGTTATCTTCTAGGTTATCTTAAGTTATCATTACAGGGTTATCCTAAGTTATCTTCACAGGTTATCTTAATGGGTTCTCTCTGTAAGAGAACATGTTATCTTAGGTTATCCTCCTAGGTTATCTTAAATTTCACTACAGGGTTATCCTAAGTTATCTTCACAGGTTATCTTAATGGGTTCTCTCTGTAAGAGAACATGTTATCTTAGGTTATCCTCCTAGGTTATCTTAAGTTATCTTTACAGGTTATCCCTATATGATGGCGAAGAGAAGTGCACATCTCATCCCTGGGTGAAATGCCGTACGGGTCCGGGGCGCCATTGGTGAAGCGCAGACGTCAGCTTGGAACTGTTGATGATGTTCCAGTCCAAGTGCGCAGTGGTTTCCTCCGAGATGGAGATGAAGTTTCCTCCGAGATGGAGATGATTTTATTTTGTTGCCTTTAGTTGTCCGTCCGGAATCGTCGGGTTTGATATTCAGCCAGCTGAAACCGAGCAGAAACGAAGAGAAGTCAGATGTCGTCGCACGCTACCTTCCTCCAGAAGTCGTCCTTCGCCGTGTTACTATTCCAGATGTCGTCCCACGCTACCTTCCTCCAAACGAAGTTGTCCTTCGCTGTGTTACTATTCCAGATGTCGTCGCACGCTACCTTCCTCCAGAAGTCGTCCTTCGCCGTGTTACTATTCCAGATGTCGTTGCACGCTACCTTCCTCCAGAAGTCGTCCTTCGCCGTGTTACTATTCCAGATGTCGTCCCACGCTACCTTCCTCCAAACAAAGCTGTCCTTCGCTGTGTTACTATTCAAGATGTCGTCCCACGCTACCTTCCTCCAAACGAAGTTGTCCTTCGCTGTGTTACTATTCCAGATGTCATCGCATGCTACCTTCCTCCGAACGAAGTCGTCCTTCGATCGCCATGTTACCAGTCCAGTTACCTTACTCCACCTACGAGATGTTCGATGTCGACGCATGCTACCCAACTCCATCCAGGATATTGACTCTTCTGCACGTGTCACCATAGTCTCAGTTTCATAGACTCTTAGGACTATAAGTCATGTGATATTCTGACTTGAGAATTTTATGGTCGATTTTTGCAATTAATAAACACTATTTTTGAAACACAAATCTGCCTCTTTATTTCTGAAGGACAGGGATATACTTTCCCATACGAAACATCTAAGTTCCCACGTCGCGCTCGGGTGTCGCGGTCGAGCGACCGGACCCCTCACGTTACAATATGATGATTGTTTACTCAAACTGCCAGTGTTAATGAATGGTTGTGTTTAGTTGATAGATTCAAATATTGAAAGAATACAGACAAAGTAGTATTGATGACTGGCCAGAAACCAAAAAATAAGATTTGGAACAATGAAAAACAAAAATTCATTTCTATTATAGACAGACCATACCTGTTGAGGTGAAAATATCTGATTTTTTCAAAGAATTTAGAATTCTTGTGTCACCTCTCTTGCCTATAGATGAATCTGCTTCATATAGCGTAGAAGATATTTGAGTGTGTATTTGTGTGTATATATTCTCATCTCTATGGGCTCATTCTCACAGACACCATAGGTCAACTTAGAGTGATCCAACTCTGTGCCTAGACTCTCGCAAAGTGCAATCAGCTTAATTGACTGAAGCGCCTCTGCAGGCATTGAATAGAATACAAAACAGCTGCTGATTTTGGAAGTATGTTGGAAACAAGAGGAGGCATTGTCATTCACTTTAGCTGTTTGCACTCAACAAGAGTCCCTGCAAATCTACGATCAATGTAAGATTTGTTTTTTAGTTGATTTTTTCATTTCAGAATTTTGGCACATTTCTTGTGGAAGAAGTGAGCGAGGACCAGAAATAATGGGTGGTTACTGAGACTCTGGGCGCCATCGTTGATCATCTGGCACTGTTGTCATGGAGATCACGGTAACAGACAAACTCCAGACCATATGGTACCACAGCTGACAGCTGAGCTAAAACTGCTCCCTGTGGTTTTATTAGTACCACCAGCGTGTACACTGGCGGTACTCATGGTTTTAGTCCCGACCCGTATCGTACGGCTCCACCGGCTCCATAAGCTCCGCAGGGTGGCGTGGGATACAAGTCACCGTTACCGCTATTCTCCTCCTAGACCACATGGACCTGTGTCCCCATCTCTTGGATTTAGGTCACATATAATCTCAACTTGAACCCCCTGGTTTTTTTGTCTCAGTCGGTGCATTCACTTGGGCGTGACACTCGATGAAATGCACCCTTGTCAAATTTTTTGAAAATTCAATGCTATATATCTCCTAAACGGAAGGAATTATGGGAAAAATTAGTATAGAAGTCTGACCGAAAGTCACATATGAGGATTTCAAATATGCCTTCGGATTTGACCTTTTTTCTTTTTTCTTTTTTTTTTTTTTTTTTTTTTTTGACTTTTTTTCAAGGTCAAACAGGCCAAAATATTCTAAAAATGGGAATTTTTTGCAAAAAAAACTTTTATTTGTGCTGAATTTCAGAAACAACACAGAGTTTAGCACTCATATTATAGTGAGGGGATGCAAGTAGGGCCTCCTTTCATCTTTGAGAGTTTGGGGTCAATCGGTGCATTTTCATGGGAGAAATGGCCATAAGATGCCGAAACTTAAAACTCGCGATAATTCTGGAACCGTAAATGCTAGAGACCTCTTGTTTCTTGCATTATGTAGAGCTTATCAAGTGCAATACTGGAGGTGGTGTCCATTTTTTTTGTTTGCGATACGGTCAAGGAGTTGCACTATATCAAAAAGCAAAACTGAGCAATATTCAGTGGTGAAAATAAAATGTGAAATACTCCAAAAGTAGCTGAGATACACCCATAGCTACTATTGAACTTGAATAGGAAGGAAGTCATATACTGGCAATCTAACTGTGACCTTGAAATTGACCTTTGACCTACTTTTCACCATGCACTGAACTTTGCAATTTTTCCATCCCTTTTATTTCCAATACTGACAGAGATCACTTTTGAACTTGAATAGGAAGTCATATGCTGGACATCTAACTGTCACATTTAAATTGAGTTGCGCTCTATCAAAAAGCACAACTGAGCAATATTCAGTGGTGAAAATAAAATGTGAAATACTCCAAAAGTATACACCCATAGTTACTATTGAACTTGAATAGGAAGGAAGTCATATACTGGCAATCTAACTGTGACCTTGGAATTGACCTTTGACCTACTTTTCACCATGAACTGAACTTTGCAAATTTTGCTTCCCTTATATCTCCAAAACTGGCAGAGATAGGTCCATAATTACTATTGAACTTGAAAACGAAGTCATATACTGGCAATCTTACTGTGACCTTGAAATTGACCTTTGACCTACTTTTCACCATGAACTGAACTTTGCAATTTTTCCATCCCTTTTATTTCCAATACTGACAGAGATCACTTTTGAACTTGAATAGGAAGTCATATGCTGGACATCTAACTGTCACATTTAAATTGAGTTGCGCTATATCAAAAAGCACAACTGAGCAATATTCAGTGGTGAAAATAAAATGTGAAATACTCCAAAAGTATACACCCATAGTTACTATTGAACTTGAATAGGAAGGAAGTCATATACTGGCAATCTAACTGTGACCTTGGAATTGACCTTTGACCTACTTTTCACCATGAACTGAACTTTGTAAATTTTCTGTCCCTTACATTTCCAAAACTGGCAGAGATAGGCTTATTTCTTTCTTTCAATATATATATGCAACACTGATAGTGCATTTTAAAGAAAACTGACAAGCCTATTGTCTTGAAAATCGGCTTGATCAGACGATTTTTACAAAAGTTGTGCATTTTTTGTTTTTTTTTTATTTTGTGGGAGGGGGCATATTTCTTGTCTTGTTTATTGCAGTTTGAAGAGCTTGTCAAACACAACACTGGTAGTTGTTCCTGTTTGTTTTTGGTTTCCATACGAATGCGCTTACTCCAGCTGGTGGTACAATATCCGGAGGCGGTATCGCCTCTCTGATCCTCTAGTTTATTTATTTATTTATTCATTTTTACCAAAACAATTAAAGACCTATATCAGCAGTAGTTCCATCATCTGTGTAGTGGACAATATATAAAAGTGTCATGTTTTGCTTACTAAAATGATTCCTGCAGTTGGGTATTTAAAGCAATAATAACTCTTCCTTTGAGATTCAAAATTCCGCAAGAAATACATTCTAAACAACACACGGAAATATATTATATTGCATTTCACCACTAAAACGGCTGTTATTGTAGTAAAACTAAAAACTGTGCTTGTCAATAGGGCTTTCGGTGCCTTTTTTCCCGGTCATCAAGGCATTCGTTGCCAAGGATTTTGGCACATCACGCGGATTCTTGCGTGCAGTCGAGACCAAAATAACACAGGCGCTTGACACAATCCTCAGACATAAGTTGCGAGTTTTTGTACAGTGTGTCGGATAATGAAAAGCCCAGAACTGCACACGTTGTGAATTTGAGCAATTAAGACGATTATATCGTATGAATCTTATTTTATTGCAATAAAGTGTTGTTGTTGTCTGCTTTTCCTGCGGTTTTAAGTAGGTCATCAGAAAACCCCGCTCGATATGCTATGTTAGAGAGGGCTCCGTCAGTTAAAATCACTTAAGAGATCTTAACAAAAAACCGTACGTTTGGGAAAAAAACCCTGGATTAACTTTGAATGCAGGAATGGGGTCGCTGACCATTGGTGAGTACAGGAAAATTGCCGTTTACTCCAGGAAAATCCAATTTTTGGCCAAAACGAAGAGTTATTATGACTTTAACATATTCTTTTACAGTGTAATAATATTTTTATTTCAAGACATATTGATCAATTAAAGCAATGGGTATCTTCTGAAGGAATATTGTGAAATTTTTCCAGATTCATGAACAGAAAAGCAGCCTGAGAGCCCACCTTCCTAGTTCATCAAATACAAGTATTAACCAGTAGATTAACTTAGACCCATTCCCATACCTAGATCAATCTAGCAGGATCCACCCATCTCCGAGGGAATTCTCACTAAGTTTTAGTTCAGATTAAGCAGCTTAGATATCTGGCACACCTACTAAACTTTACGTCAATCGAAATCAAGTGAAGTCTAATGCGTTTAATTCTTTAGAATGAAATATAATATACATATCATATTGATGTTGTGAAAAACTCGAAAACTGGATTAGGGAAGAAAAGGAAGCCAATGTTCAGATTTATGCATCAGATATTATTTTCAGAAATGATGATAAAAAAATCTACTAATTTCTCAGGTAAAATAATACATTTACAGAAAATCAAAAAATGGAGGGCATTCATAATCCAGGGACATCAAATGTTTTCTGAACTAAAAAATAATTATTTGCTTGTCTTTATATGTATTTATTTTATACAGAAGTTACACGCAATAAAGTGGCATGGTAGGTATACAGATATGTATGTATGCATATGTTTTTGAGATATGTATATGTGAGAAGTGATTTGTATTGTACTGCACATTTTAATGCTTATTTCTTAAGTCTAAGTAAAGAAAATATATATTCTATTTCGAAAAATACATGTTTAATAATCCTTACGTAGAATACATTGATCATATGTTACTGAACATGTCAAACTACTGTCTCTTAGCCAGTAATTAAACTCATCACAGGCATCTGTAAGTAGCAAGCCATGGGAACGAGATGTGTAATTTAAACGAATCTGCAGATTGTTACTTTTCATAAAATTTGTATTTGCAACTTTTTCGAAATAAAGGAAATGTTTGCACACACTTGTAGAAAAGTGTATGACTACCAGGGTGGTATTACTGAGGGTGGGTCGAGGGGGGGATAGAGAGTTTGAGGCCCATCTCGTCATGCCTATAGCTTAAGTGTACGTCTCTGTGGTTTAGGGGTACAGTGGTCGCCTGCTTCGCGGATTAGATTCCGGACACATTTGGAAAACATGAGACTGAGTTCTATCTTGAGAAAAGTACTATTCTTTACATCATCTACTTTCCAGGAAAGAAATTTTAAGCTTGCGGCAGCTGTGGACAATATGTCTACCAATAAATTACTGAGATCTCTAACAGTAGGGCCGTTTGATGGATTTTGTTTGGTCATTTCCTAAAAGTCCAGCTTAGGGCGTTTTATGTTTATCTTTTTTTTTTTCTAATTAGTGAAATAAGATAAAAAATAAATTCAGCCAATAAAAAATATTGAAATATAAATGTCGGAAGTTGT